CCCTCCCTCCCTCCCTCCCTCCACGTCACAGGCCTTTTAAGGGCTTGTCACTTCTACAAATCAGCTCTTAGAGCTCTTAGAGCTCCTCACATTTAAATTGAAAGCCGTTGCATTATCTAGCTTAATTTTAAATGTCTGTTTAAGTCCTTACCCCCGCCCTCAATGTCTCCTGCAGCATGGCTGGTGTAGTAAATATGAGGCCTCATTGTTTATTTATGCGCTAACATCAATTGTAGTGAAAACTGCTGAATTATTGATGCTAAAATGCAATCTGAATATTGGCCCTGGTGCTTTAATTATAGCAGAGAGAGAATGATTAAATAAACAGAGAAGCATCCCTCAGTGGGAACAGTCTCAGGATGCTTTTGTTATCTCCGTGAGTGAAATAAGGAGAATTATCCTGCTGCTGAGGCACTTTATCACACAAACATTCTCATTTCTTTTGCTCAAACAGAATTTGGACGGTCTCAAATAACACAGACGTACTGTAGGATAACAGCTCTCAAAATCAATATACCTCATGTCTCCTCAGCAGCACAACATAGATTGAATATAGAAACACGGTGTGGTTTAGCAGAGAGAAAATGAAGCAGTCACTGCTCATACGGAAACACCGGGTTATCTACCGACCGTTGTTTTGATTATGTGCGATTTTGCCGTGACATAATTGGTGTTGTCCGCATTCATAGCGTAGGACATTTGATGCTCAGTTATTAAGCTTTCTTCCCAGCTTCTTCCTAATCTCTTTGTTCAGAACAGACAAATTACCTCTCTCATACAGAGCTGCTTTGACCCAGGGGAGGGAGACCCTCCCAGCGTCAGTCACTTTAATTAGCCCCCAAGTAGGAGTTTGCAATTACTAATAGACTGGAGCCCTCCTAGTGATTTGAGGGATGAAGGGAAAAGTAAATCGCCCCTTAGAATCATAAAGGAAAAAAAAAACAATTTTTCTGTTTCACAGGACTGAACACCTCCTGCAGTTATGTTGGAGCGTGGTTATAATTATACCAAAGAGAATCGCTTCATGGATGCACTTTTAAGTTAATGCAAAGTAAATGGGACACCAGATGGTTTTCAAAGCCTGGCTGATCAATAAATTAAACACTGGTGCTGGTGGAAAGTTGATTCATCAGGGTGAAACATTTATGGCATTTTGTGAATTGATACTCTTTAATGACGGCCCAAATTCTTAAACTGTTTTATTTTTTATCTCTCACTATTCAGGTGTGTTAGGCAGGAGCCGCGCAGGAAGCAGGATGTGTGCCTTCATTTTAGCCCTTACTCATTGTCACCCGAGACAGCGTGGATCAGCAGCACCCCAGCCTTTTAGCTGTGCTCCCAGGCCCTTTGTCCCAAAGGAATCCTCAACCCATCTTACCAGTAACCTGACTTTTATTTCTGCAACCCATGCCCAACACTCAACCTTCAACCTTGGTTTTTCCCCAAATATGGGTGGATACTTGCACTTAACACACCTGAATCTGGACGCTGAGGACTCCATGACCTTGGAATAAAACATAGACCGGAGCCCGATCAGAATCCAAGGGGACTCTTCGGGAAGAGAAAATTAAATAACACAAGAGGACTTTGTGACTGAAGTGAGGGAAAGAGAAAAAGACTAATGAGGTTAAAGAGATGCAGACTTTTCAACTCTGCATATTTGTTTAAAGACATTTGGGGGGAAAACCGGGACCTTTTCATTTTTCCTCTCTTCCTTTTCTATCCTCATGTCCCAACAACATGGTGTTTCCACTTTATATATTTTAAGTGTTGTCAAAGGGGAATGTGTTTCTTTTTTTTTTTCTTTGGTGGTATATATATATATATAAAAATGGGGTTTAAAACAACAAAAAAAAAAATTCTGTGGCTTTTTGTGGAAAACAAATCATGAACACTCTCTTGGTGTATTTGTAAAACTACCATGTATGTACAGTATGCATGTAAATGTCGTTGTCCAGGCGTGGCTACAGTACATCTGACCCTCCGCACTCAGCTCCTGTCCTCCCCTCTCCCCTCCAAACCTGAACCCATGGAAAACTGAAGAAATTTGCTCATAGTCAGTAATGTAGAGATCATCACCAACATATAAATGCTGAATGAAAGAGAAGTTTATTTGTGATATTTTCCGAGACATTTGCTCCAGTATGGTGTATTTAATTAATAAAAATATTGAAGATTTAAAAAGCCTCCTTAAATTCATTGTAAAGCTTCAGAATCTGTGTTATTGAATAAACTTGGGTTTATAGATTGTTAGTGCTCTTCTTCTCGCACTAAGCATTGTGCTAATACTGTCTTTTGAATCCTTTGTTTTTACCAATGAAGCTTTGTCAGAATGACATAATTACCACAAGATCCCATTCGCCAAGTGCCCAAGAATGTATCTGTCATGCAAAAGGCTGATATGTAGTGCACTACTTGTTTGTCTTACCAGTGAAAATCATCTATTAAAGATTCCGCAGTGCTGCCATTCAATTTCCAGCCTAGCAATCATCAAGGCGCATGATGAGCGTCTAACCGAAAATGGATAAACATGTATCCTCTCTTTCTGTTCAAATGACCGTTTGCTATTCATCACTCTAATACCTGACAGAAATGGAGGAAAATGTCCCTTTGAAGATTCAATTACTGCAGAGAGGGAGAGAGGTGTCTCTTTGGCAGGCACAAATTGAATGGGCTATTTGCAGAACAAATTGGTGTTTGAAGTCCTTGCAAGACCTAATAGGTCTGAAGGAGGAACCCGGTAATGGCTGATGCGCTTATCTGTGGAGTCTAGGCCCCTCATGAGCCCGCCGCCGACGCTGAAACAATGCTGCTGTACAGGATAAGACTTTAATGCAAAAATCAGCTCAAATAGAAAGAGTAAACAGACTTTTGTGTTTTTAAATGCTACAAAAATCTTGCGAAGCCAGAAGAAACCGATCGGTTTTGAATGCCAATGTTTCTGAAAGCATCTCCCATGGCTGAGTTCCATTTAGCTGCTCAGACAGCAGACCTGCCCCAGAAGGTTCATACATACAAAGAAAGCATGTCAGAAATATAATTCGGTTTGCATTTTGAACAAGTGGTAGCTGCCTAAGAGCTTTCTAACTTGCATGGATTAACTTTTCTAGATCATGTTTGGACAAGAGTCTCCTTACTGTAGCAATATCTTTTAGATGATAAAAGTTGATGCTGTAACTGATTTAGACTGCTGAAATTTAGATCTAAGTCCAAGACAACGCCCAGATTTGTGGCCCGATGCACAGATGTTACAGGTGAAGAGTTCAGGTGTGCAAAAAGATCACGCTCAGCAATTCAGCAAAGGGTGGCACCAACTATTTAAATAGAGCAAATTTAAGACAGGAGTTTGGATGATAAATGCAATTCTTAAAAAACTAAATGAATACAACAAATATTGTTTAGTTTGACACCCATACTCCCCCTTCATATAGTTGGGAAACATTAGTGGTGCCAAAGTGAACTTAAGAACCTCACTCTTGGAGCTGAATCTCATTGCAAATGTACAAAAAACAATATGGTCAGATTTACAAAAAATAAAACAATCTCTGGGGATAATTCAGCTTTTTCACGTGGCATTCAAATGGAGCTTTGGCTGGAGGTTCTATGAACCACTTAAAACTGGAATTTGGGGAAATAGCTATGTAAACATCATCAAAATGTAGTCAGCATTAATACTTAGAGGACTACAAAATGCTTCAAAAACATCATCCTCATTTAGCTTAACTGCTGCATTCGATTTAAGGTCTTTTAGGATGATTTGATATGAATTATGAAACATGTCACAGGCATCATCCATGGTTGATGTTTGGGAGGTGGTAACCAGAGGAGCAGATCATGCATTCCACTTTCACCTGCTTATTAAATGACTCTCAGGCCAAAGAAGCCTTTGAGTATCAGATTTTTAGAAAATGAATTATCCTTTAAGTTGATTTTGGGTTTGATTTAGCTTTTAAGTGACCTCAGTAATCCACATTATAACAACACTGTTCCGTGCTACACTAACGTTGGCCTTTTCCATTATGAAATCCGCTTGGTTCCATTAAGCTGTTTACTCACACACACATCCATGCACACATAAACACACACGTACACACACATAAATATACGTAAGCTGTACACACGTGACGCACACACACACATTTCATATACATCATCAACTTATTGAACAAGTCAAAAAGCTCAGTTCCAGACTCACTGAAATTATATATATAAAAAAACTATTTACACATAATCCATATGTGAGAATTTGCTTTGATGTGGCAAACCAGAGTGTGGGCTAATGGATCTCACCCACAACAATGGAGCACACTTAAATGGCATGTCTGCCTGAGGGAAATCACTTTGCTTCAACTCCAGCTCCTTCCTGCTCTCACTGGGGAGTCTGCTGATGCACCACAACTGGATTACTTATGATTAGTCACCTTGTATTTATTTGTAATTAGTTTATGTCTTCATTCTGCCGCAAGTTTTTGATCGTCATTAATCTCAGTGTGATTGGGAGATTTTTATGGAAGAGCAGATGTTGTTTTCTGCATGATGGGCCGTGCAAACCGGGGGAACTTTATTCAGAAATCTGCCAAACTAGTTTTTTGTTTACTGTATCAGAAACAATATACATAACACCTTCCAGATGCTTTCTGTTAATAACTTCAACACATTTTATAGATTTATTTATTGGACAAAGTATAAGGTTTATGACCTGGGAAGAGGCAGTGTTTTTGTCTAAAACTCTAAAAATAAAGGCCTCAGTGCTTCCAAATTCATGAACTGAACCAAAAGCCTCCAGTGAATATGAAGCCATTATATTATATATTATATTATCCTGCCTACAATCATAAGCTCCATCCATTTGAAAAACTATTTACATACAGGAACAAATCTTAGTGGAACAGCAGTTTGGCACCGCAAGTGGTGATTTGTACTTTTACCATTACTTCCACCACTGAAGTTTAGAGGAGAGTGAGCTCCTCGTGTCTGTTTGATGGTAAATTAGAAAATGGTGCAAGGCTACAAGGAGAGAAAATGTCATCTGTAAATCAGTAATGTTACTGTTAATGTATGGCACTTTATGATGCTTGGGGCACACTGGCTATGAATTATATGAAACTACATAAAGGTAAAGCTAACTGTATGTACCGTACACTGGTACAATACAAAGGAACTACAAGTAAAGCCTTGCAACTGTGCTGACTTTGTATTTTATTTTGGTAAAAGTTTCAGACAACACTCATGCTTGTTTTGATGGCCAGTTTTGAATGAAAAGACACGTCTTAACAGTTTTCGTTCTGCAAAAGAGTAACATTTCTAAGAAATGACAAAATATTGTTGGGCTGGAGGTGTGAATACAGACCAATATTCATTCAGTCTTTTGGAGCAGGCACAAAAGAAAGTTGATATAAATCAAAAAGACTGCTTAATGTGACACACAGATAAATATGAAGTTTTAGTTGGCATTCAGTAAACTTGGTTGCCTGTGTGAGCCGTAGCTGAATTCAGCCAACTTGAGGAACGTATCTTCAAGCTGAAGTTTCAAAAAGTTTGTCATTCCAACTGTACAAAATACAGCTGACACTAATTCAGGACCAGGGAATGAAAACGGGGGGGGGGCGGTATCTTTAGGACTAAATGGGTCATGATGACGCAAACAACGCCACCACTGTCATCACATTTCAATTCAAATGCTCGTGCACAGAAATAAATGACATTTTATTATGTATTCCTATGGGATAAAATAACTAACCCCTAGTGACTAACCACTAAATATAGATTGATACAGAAATGGCTGTATCTCAAACGCTACAGTGAGTTATATCAAATGGTACCACTGGAATTAAATCAACTTAAATTTCAATAATATGTACTTTGATTGTGTCATATGTAGTCCCATGTCTCGACAGTTTCCACAGCAAATTTTGCGTTTTCATCTCTAACATTCTGTGGGGCTTATTAAATATAGTCTTTGGTCATTAATGGGTTAAAACTGTTATAGTAGAACTCAAGTAGAAAGAAATCTCTCGTTTCCTAGAATGTATCCGAAATTAATTAATGCTGTATTAGCCATTTCCTGTATTTCTTAGCTAGAACTTCCTCCATTCCACCATTACACTCTCATTTCTTTATTTGTTCCTTCATTAGCTCGTCCATCCATCTGTTTTCTTGGCCAGTCTTGATCAGATTTTGCCAAAACCTGTGAAAATTATGCATCTCACCATTGCGTTCCAGCATTTCTGTAATTACACTGATTAGGTCCAAGGGGTTTTGTCTGTTCCTTTGTTCACTTGTATCTCATAAACCATTTATCAGGTTTTGACAAAACTTGGGCAAGTGAAGCATCTCATCACCACAGTTTCCCAGATTATAATGATTATAGGTCATCACATTACAATACACAGGTATTTACTACTGACTGGCCAGAGTCAGTCTGTTTCTGCATTTATTCAAATGGCTGGCTGCTCTAACATATCAAATAATAACATGAATTCTAACATCAGCCAGATCTAGACCTTCTATAGATACATGAGCATGGTATTCAGGAGGAAAGAAACCAAGCTTTCAATGAAACCTGAGGCCCCTTAAAACACCATAATGGTGTGAAATGTGGTTCATAATTGTCTTGTTTCAGCCCACCGTGGAATCAGCAAACAACTTAAAATAGTGCCTGGGCCAGGGTGCTCAGTTACTTAGCAGGGTGTTCAATAACACAGAGAGGGACATGCAAATATTGGTAAGGCAATTATTGGCAGTCATGTTTGGCCTAAAGTAGCAGGTAACTCTATCCTCTCCATTATGTATGCTGTGAACTCTGGTGCAAGGAGCACCGTTAAAGCTTTGCTTTTTACTGTTAAAAGGCTTACCTCCTGACGAAAAGAGGCTCACTTTACGCTCAGATGTCCTTCTCAGTGGAAATGCACTCGTAATGCAACAAGAGAAACAAAGAACCTCCTGCCCTCAGGACTCTTATCTTCTTAAAGCCACATTTACTCAGTGGACATTGTTAACATGCAGTACTGTTTCTTAAAAAAAGAGAAACAACAAATAAATGAATCTTTTCACATTTTCACATAGGAAACTTTATCTTAGATTTCCTAAAACATATCCAAAATATTAGTTGCCCCTTTTTTCTTAAACAGAACTTCCATATCACAATGACATCAACGACTATTATGAGATAAAGAAATTTAATCGGTTTATAATCAAGTAACTGCATCATCTTTTTCATTGAAAAAATAAATACACAAAGGGAATGGGACATAAATGTTTATTTCACTAGAGAATATTACAAACATGACATCTGGGCTTGGATTGCTTTTATGAGACGCTATTGAAAAAATGAGCATAAATATAAAAGGAATGAGATAGTCAACACTCATGTTATGTTTACCCCGCCACACACACACA